CAGGGCGAGACTCCGTCTCAAAAACAAAAAAACAAACAAAAACCTCTTGGAGATATTTCAATGTCACTATAGCTATTTCTACCTTTTTATTTTATTTTATTTTATTTTATTTTATTTATTTATTTTGAGATGAGTCTCTGTCACCCAGGTTGGAGTGCAGTGGTGCAATCTCAGCTCACTGCAAACACCTCCTGGGTTCAAGGGATTCTCCTGCCTCAGCCTCCCGAGTAGCTGGGACTACAGGCATGCACCACAGTGCCCAGATAATTTTTGTATTTTTAGTAGAGACAGGGTTTCACCATGTTAGCCACGCTGGTCTGGAACTCCTGACCTCAGGTGATTCCTCTGCCTTGGCCTCCCAAAGTGCTGGGATTACAAACATGAGCCCCCTCACCTGACCCTTATTTTTATTTATTTATTTTTAAAGATGCTTCATTCTGTCACCCAGGCTGGAGTGCAGTGGCTCTATCATAGCTCATTGCAACTTCGAACTCCTGGGCTCAGGCAATCCTCCAGCCTCAGCCTCCCAAAGTGCTGGGATTACAAACATGAGCCCCCTCACCTGACCCTTATTTTTATTTATTTATTTTTAAAGATGCTTCATTCTGTCACCCAGGCTGGAGTGCAGTGGCTCTATCATAGCTCATTGCAACTTCGAACTCCTGGGCTCAGGCAATCCTCCAGCCTCAGCCTCCCAAAGTGCTGGGATTACAAACATGAGCCCCCTCACCTGACCCTTATTTTTATTTATTTATTTTTAAAGATGCTTCATTCTGTCACCCAGGCTGGAGTGCAGTGGCTCTATCATAGCTCATTGCAACTTCGAACTCCTGGGCTCAGGCAATCCTCCAGCCTCAGCCTCCCAAAGTGCTGGGATTACAAACATGAGCCCCCTCACCTGACCCTTATTTTTATTTATTTATTTTTAAAGATGCTTCATTCTGTCACCCAGGCTGGAGTGCAGTGGCTCTATCATAGCTCATTGCAACTTCGAACTCCTGGGCTCAGGCAATCCTCCAGCCTCAGCCTCCCAAAGTGCTGGGATTACAAACATGAGCCCCCTCACCTGACCCTTATTTTTATTTATTTATTTTTAAAGATGCTTCATTCTGTCACCCAGGCTGGAGTGCAGTGGCTCTATCATAGCTCATTGCAACTTCGAACTCCTGGGCTCAGGCAATCCTCCAGCCTCAGCCTCCCAAAGTGCTGGGATTACAAACATGAGCCCCCTCACCTGACCCTTATTTTTATTTATTTATTTTTAAAGATGCTTCATTCTGTCACCCAGGCTGGAGTGCAGTGGCTCTATCATAGCTCATTGCAACTTCGAACTCCTGGGCTCAGGCAATCCTCCAGCCTCAGCCTCCCAAAGTGCTGGGATTACAAACATGAGCCCCCTCACCTGACCCTTATTTTTATTTATTTATTTTTAAAGATGCTTCATTCTGTCACCCAGGCTGGAGTGCAGTGGCTCTATCATAGCTCATTGCAACTTCGAACTCCTGGGCTCAGGCAATCCTCCAGCCTCAGCCTCCCAAAGTGCTGGGATTACAAACATGAGCCCCCTCACCTGACCCTTATTTTTATTTATTTATTTTTAAAGATGCTTCATTCTGTCACCCAGGCTGGAGTGCAGTGGCTCTATCATAGCTCATTGCAACTTCGAACTCCTGGGCTCAGGCAATCCTCCAGCCTCAGCCTCCCAAAGTGCTGGGATTACAAACATGAGCCCCCTCACCTGACCCTTATTTTTATTTATTTATTTTTAAAGATGCTTCATTCTGTCACCCAGGCTGGAGTGCAGTGGCTCTATCATAGCTCATTGCAACTTCGAACTCCTGGGCTCAGGCAATCCTCCAGCCTCAGCCTCCCAAAGTGCTGGGATTACAAACATGAGCCCCCTCACCTGACCCTTATTTTTATTTATTTATTTTTAAAGATGCTTCATTCTGTCACCCAGGCTGGAGTGCAGTGGCTCTATCATAGCTCATTGCAACTTCGAACTCCTGGGCTCAGGCAATCCTCCAGCCTCAGCCTCCCAAAGTGCTGGGATTACAAACATGAGCCCCCTCACCTGACCCTTATTTTTATTTATTTATTTTTAAAGATGCTTCATTCTGTCACCCAGGCTGGAGTGCAGTGGCTCTATCATAGCTCATTGCAACTTCGAACTCCTGGGCTCAGGCAATCCTCCAGCCTCAGCCTCCCAAAGTGCTGGGATTACAAACATGAGCCCCCTCACCTGACCCTTATTTTTATTTATTTATTTTTAAAGATGCTTCATTCTGTCACCCAGGCTGGAGTGCAGTGGCTCTATCATAGCTCATTGCAACTTCGAACTCCTGGGCTCAGGCAATCCTCCAGCCTCAGCCTCCCAAAGTGCTGGGATTACAAACATGAGCCCCCTCACCTGACCCTTATTTTTATTTATTTATTTTTAAAGATGCTTCATTCTGTCACCCAGGCTGGAGTGCAGTGGCTCTATCATAGCTCATTGCAACTTCGAACTCCTGGGCTCAGGCAATCCTCCAGCCTCAGCCTCCCAAAGTGCTGGGATTACAAACATGAGCCCCCTCACCTGACCCTTATTTTTATTTATTTATTTTTAAAGATGCTTCATTCTGTCACCCAGGCTGGAGTGCAGTGGCTCTATCATAGCTCATTGCAACTTCGAACTCCTGGGCTCAGGCAATCCTCCAGCCTCAGCCTCCCAAAGTGCTGGGATTACAAACATGAGCCCCCTCACCTGACCCTTATTTTTATTTATTTATTTTTAAAGATGCTTCATTCTGTCACCCAGGCTGGAGTGCAGTGGCTCTATCATAGCTCATTGCAACTTCGAACTCCTGGGCTCAGGCAATCCTCCAGCCTCAGCCTCCCAAAGTGCTGGGATTACAAACATGAGCCCCCTCACCTGACCCTTATTTTTATTTATTTATTTTTAAAGATGCTTCATTCTGTCACCCAGGCTGGAGTGCAGTGGCTCTATCATAGCTCATTGCAACTTCGAACTCCTGGGCTCAGGCAATCCTCCAGCCTCAGCCTCCCAAAGTGCTGGGATTACAAACATGAGCCCCCTCACCTGACCCTTATTTTTATTTATTTATTTTTAAAGATGCTTCATTCTGTCACCCAGGCTGGAGTGCAGTGGCTCTATCATAGCTCATTGCAACTTCGAACTCCTGGGCTCAGGCAATCCTCCAGCCTCAGCCTCCCAAAGTGCTGGGATTACAAACATGAGCCCCCTCACCTGACCCTTATTTTTATTTATTTATTTTTAAAGATGCTTCATTCTGTCACCCAGGCTGGAGTGCAGTGGCTCTATCATAGCTCATTGCAACTTCGAACTCCTGGGCTCAGGCAATCCTCCAGCCTCAGCCTCCCAAAGTGCTGGGATTACAAACATGAGCCCCCTCACCTGACCCTTATTTTTATTTATTTATTTTTAAAGATGCTTCATTCTGTCACCCAGGCTGGAGTGCAGTGGCTCTATCATAGCTCATTGCAACTTCGAACTCCTGGGCTCAGGCAATCCTCCAGCCTCAGCCTCCCAAAGTGCTGGGATTACAAACATGAGCCCCCTCACCTGACCCTTATTTTTATTTATTTATTTTTAAAGATGCTTCATTCTGTCACCCAGGCTGGAGTGCAGTGGCTCTATCATAGCTCATTGCAACTTCGAACTCCTGGGCTCAGGCAATCCTCCAGCCTCAGCCTCCCAAAGTGCTGGGATTACAAACATGAGCCCCCTCACCTGACCCTTATTTTTATTTATTTATTTTTAAAGATGCTTCATTCTGTCACCCAGGCTGGAGTGCAGTGGCTCTATCATAGCTCATTGCAACTTCGAACTCCTGGGCTCAGGCAATCCTCCAGCCTCAGCCTCCCAAAGTGCTGGGATTACAAACATGAGCCCCCTCACCTGACCCTTATTTTTATTTATTTATTTTTAAAGATGCTTCATTCTGTCACCCAGGCTGGAGTGCAGTGGCTCTATCATAGCTCATTGCAACTTCGAACTCCTGGGCTCAGGCAATCCTCCAGCCTCAGCCTCCCAAAGTGCTGGGATTACAAACATGAGCCCCCTCACCTGACCCTTATTTTTATTTATTTATTTTTAAAGATGCTTCATTCTGTCACCCAGGCTGGAGTGCAGTGGCTCTATCATAGCTCATTGCAACTTCGAACTCCTGGGCTCAGGCAATCCTCCAGCCTCAGCCTCCCAAAGTGCTGGGATTACAAACATGAGCCCCCTCACCTGACCCTTATTTTTATTTATTTATTTTTAAAGATGCTTCATTCTGTCACCCAGGCTGGAGTGCAGTGGCTCTATCATAGCTCATTGCAACTTCGAACTCCTGGGCTCAGGCAATCCTCCAGCCTCAGCCTCCCAAAGTGCTGGGATTACAAACATGAGCCCCCTCACCTGACCCTTATTTTTATTTATTTATTTTTAAAGATGCTTCATTCTGTCACCCAGGCTGGAGTGCAGTGGCTCTATCATAGCTCATTGCAACTTCGAACTCCTGGGCTCAGGCAATCCTCCAGCCTCAGCCTCCCAAAGTGCACATCATCATGGAGTTCTCACTCTGTTGCCCAGGCTGCAGTGCAGTGGCATGATCTTGGCTAACTGCAGCCTCCGCCTCTAGGGTTCAAGCAATTCTCCTGCTCAGCCTCCCAAACAGCTGGGACTACAAGCTAGCACCACCACACCCGACTAATTTCTGTGTTTTTATTTGAGACAGGATTTCACCATGCTGGCCAGGCTGGTCTTGAACTCCTGACCTCAGGTGATCCACCCACCTTGGCCTCCTAAAGCGCTGGGATTACAGCCATAAGCCACCACACCTGGCAGCCTTCCTATACTCTTATGTGATTTGTGAATAAGTGATGTCTGCCAGTACTGTCATTTGTCCTCTAGTTTTGTCTTTTAGCATACACAACTTAAGAAATTTGAAGTGGTCAAATTAATCTTCCATAGAACTTCTTATTTTATATTTTAAGAAGCCTTCCTTACCCCAAGACAAATATATTTTCCTATAGTTTTTTGAATAATTTTATAGTTAAAAAAATGAAACACAGGTAGGTCTTTAATTAATCTGAAAGTTGTTTTGGGAAATGGTGTGAGGTAGGGATCCAACATTTTTTTTTTCTTCCAAATAGTAAGTTTTGGCAACTCTTGAAATACTATATTGCAAATATTCTGGAAAGTTATTTAAAATTAGAGTTCTGGCTGTCTCACCTGTAATCCCAGAACTTTGGGTGATTACAGGTGGCTCACACCTGTAATCCCAGAACTTTGGGAGGCCAAGGTGGGAGGATTGCTTGAGGCTGGTAGTTTAAGACCAGCCTGGCCAACATAGGGAGACACCCCCATCTCATTACTTAAAAAAAATAAAATTACAGAGTTCTGGGACCTGACTACTGTGTTTACAAACTGTGGAGTAAAGCTCAGAAGTTTCTGTCCTGCCCCTCTGATTTGCACCTGGTTTTAACAAGCTGTGATTGTAGTCCAGTCTCTCCCTGATTTTACAAACAGGAAACTGAGACTGAGAAAGAGGCAGTAATCGTTCAAGGTGATTTTCCTCCTTCCCCAACTTCCCTGTCATCTTCTGGGGCTCCCAGGAGGCCCGAGGACCCAGGCAGCCCCGTTTATTCAGTCCCCCCAGCTTTATACCCCAAGCCATGGCTGGGAGCTCAGCCGGCTACAGTTGTGACCCCTGGGGTCAATGTGACCTTGAGGTGCCGGGCACCCCAACCCGCCTGGAGATTTGGACTTTTCAAGCTTGGAGAGATCAGTCCCCCCCTCTTCCGGGATGTGTCCTCCGAGCTGGCAGAATTCTTTCTGGAGGAGGTGACACCAGCCCAAGGGGGAAGTTACCACTGCTGCTACCGGAGGCCAGACTGGAGGCCGGGTGTCTGGTCCCAGCCCAGCGATCCCCTGGAGCTGCTGGTGACAGGTGAGGTCCTGGGGTCAGGGAGGAGAAGCGGGTGGAACAAGGGAGGTGGGGGAGGGACAGAGAGATCCAGGGAAAGAGAGAGCGAGGCGGGCAAACTGATAGATTCATAGACACAAGAAGACAGACACAGAGATACTGGGGGAGAGAGGGGGCGGGGCAGACAGAAAGAGAGAGAGAGGTAGAGTGAGGGGAGAGAGAAAGAGACAGAGGCAGAAGGAGAAAGAGAGGCAGAGAGAAAGAGAGACCAAGGCAGAGAGAGAGAGAGAGAGACAAAGAGAAAGAGACAGAGGCAGAGAGAGGAAGAGAGAGACAGGCAGAGAGAAAGAGGAGAGACAGGCAGAGAGAAAGAGAGGACAGGAGGAGAGGAAGAGAGAGGACAGGCAGAGAGGAAGAGAGAGACAGGCAGAAAAGAGAGGCAGAGGAGAGACAGAGAGACAGGCAGAGAGAAAGAGAGAGACAGCAGAGAGAAAGAGAGACAGGCAGAGAGAAAGAGACAGGCAGTGAGAGTAAAGAAAGAGACAGGCAGAGAGAGAGAGAGGAGAGAGAAAGGCAGAGAGAGAAGAAACAGGAGAGCAGAGAAAAGAGAGAGACAGGCAGAGAGAAGAGAGACAGGCAGGGGAGGAGAGGAAGAAAGAGACAGGCAGGAGAGAGAGAGAGACAGGCAGAGATGAGGAAGAAAGAGACAGGACAGAGGAGAAGAAGGACGGCAGAGAGAGAGAGAGACAGGCAGAGAGAGGAAGAAAGAGACAGGCAGAGAGAAAGAGAGGATAGGCAGAGAGAGGGAGAC